CAATCTGAAGGAAAAACAATGAAGGGCTGTCAATCCCAGGATAAAACAACAAGAAATATATTTGTTACTTTTCGACATGAGATAAGTCTCTGAACCAAAATAAAAGAACAAATCTACTGCACTTCTGTTTCATTTGGCTGTATGAAGAAAAGGTAAGCAGACATCACTGATATATTAAAAGGGATCTCTGGATTCTACAGAATTTCTTCCCTACGCTTTTTATTTAAATGCCCAGAGCAAGCCTCTGTCCTTCCCATGAGTTCTCTGGCTGCCAACAAGGTCCAGAGGTCAGGTAGAGGGAATACATGGGAAGAACGTATGGCACAGAGATTATGAGCAAGAGATGAGAAACTAGGTGTATCTGAGTTCAAATGTTGCCTTCTTTGCTTATAAATGTAATCTTGAGCAGGTTGCTTAACCCTTGTAAACCTCAGTTTCTTCACCAATAAAATGGGATAAGAGCTGCTCCCTATTGAGATCATTGTGAAGATTAAATGAAATTTTAATGTATTTAGCATTTGCCTGGTAGTTGTTCTTATAAAAGGGATAAAATATATTTGTTACTTCAGGTACTTCAGATTTTTTACCAGTACTTATTACTGAAAAAAATATTAATTCTTCTAACAACAATAAACATTTGAGTCTTTAGCACTGAGAGGGAAAGAGTTCTTACTCTGAGGAGGAATGGATAGAGAAATGACATAATAAAAAGCATATATACATAACACATAGACACAGACAACAGTGTGGCGATAGCCAGAGGGAAAGGGAGGTGGAAATAGATGGAGGTGGGCAAAGGCGGGTAAAAGGGGATGAAAAGGGACGTTGCTTGAGGCAGTAGGCACATGATGCAGTGTACAAGTAATGTTTTATTGAGTTGTACAATTGACACCTGTATCGTTTTGTGAACCAATGTCACCCCAATTAAGTTCAATAAAACTAAATAAATGAAGCAAGTGTAGTAAAATCTTAACTGCAGAATCTAGGAAGTGAGTATATGGGTGCTCACTGTAAAATTCTTCACCTTTTTGTATGTTTTAAATATTTCATAACAAAATGTTGAGGAAAAAATTCAATGCAGAACAGGAAAATTAACAGACTATAGACAGTCAAAGTGAATTATAGCAGAACAGAAAACCACACATAGCTAGATCCTTAAGCAAAACACCTTGAATGATGCCAGAGCTGTCCTGACTCTTGATGAAACAGACTACCAGATGGACCACATCATGCACATGAGAACTGTGCCACTGCTGGAACCTGCATGTCAGGGTCAGAACAGTAACAGGTTAATGGAGAGACACATTTAGACCTAAGAAAGACATTTATTGCCCTGGCTGGCATAGTTCAGTGGATAGAGTTCGGGCTGCGAACCAAAGTATCGCAGGTTCAATTCCCAGTCAGGACACATGCCTGGGTTGCAGGCCACAGCCCCCAGCAACTGCACATTGATGTTTCTCTCTCTCTCTCTCTCTCTCTCTCTCTCTCTCTCTCTCTCTCCCCCCTTCCCTCTCTAAAAATAAATAAATAAAATCTTAAAAAAAAGAAAGACATTTATCTTACAGTTCTCCTCCACCACAGACATAGCTTCTGTTTCCAGGTCATTGTGTTCCTAACCAAGAGGCTGAAGATACAATGATATGCTAAATTCTAAGAGTCACAGTCACTGACACCACTTAATTAAAATGAAAAAGATGTCCCATCTTGTTCCCTCCCTTTTTTTTCTTGGATTCTTTGTCATTTTATACAGATTCCCACATAGTTTTTCTCTATTATTATTTTTTGAAACAAATTTCTACATAAAACAAGATTAGAAAGTAAAAAATTAATTCTCTGCATGTAAGTCATCATGTCATCAGCCCCTGAAAGCAAACACCCAGAAAATGATATATAAATAAATATTGGCTTCATTTCCAAAAATATTGGCTTCATTTCTAACTACAATTCTATAAGGACCATGCGAAACTTTGGTGAAAAGTGCCAAAGGATTAGGGAGTCCTATGAGAACACAGGAGATCCAAGTTAAAATGTAGGGCAGGTATGGACTGTAACCTGCTTTTATCAATGTAATCTGAAAAAAGAAGTGACATAAAAAAGCCTTAAGTATACAGAATACCTTCATGAGTTGGTGACTAAATAGTAATCTTATCATCATTATTATTTTTCATTTACAAAAATAAATTAATATCCTATTGAAAGGAGTAGCTTTTGTGTTGTTTTTGAGATTCTGACTTACAAGGAAGAGTTATAAACATCTGACTTCTAAGAAATGTATAGCCACAGATGCTTCTTTAATCTCAATGTTGTTTTCACCTCATTTCCTGAAGAACAGTAGATCATACTATTCAGGGCTAAAGCAAATTATAATCCAGACCTCCTAATATTTCTCTTTACCTTATCCTACTCAAGGACTCTGATCTAAAACACTCTGCCTCCTGCTGTGGAAATGGTTTATATTATTAAAGGTTTGTTCTAAAGAGGGGAAAAATGGTACTTAACCACTAACCATAGTAGTAAAATGTCAGTAATGTGATATTGTTGGTACAAGCACAGTGTATTTCACATAAATTGTAGTACAGATGAACTACACTCTAATAGCATGATACCAGGGTTCCAGGGCCACTACTGGGACAGCTATTGGCAGTCACAAAGCTGGGATGGAAGTTTGCATGGTGATAATAACCACCATGATTCAGTGAGCACCTACTGTCTGCCGAGCACTGTGTGACAGACGTTATTTATGTCATGTCTAATTCTCACAATGGAGGTGAAGTAACCTTATCAAGAAGATTCTACCCTTTTAACACTATAACAGTAAGACAGTGGTCAAGTTATTTATGTCCCAAAGCCCCATTTTTTCCATCTATAGAATGAGAAGCACACTGCCTGCCCTTCAAAGGGCTGCTGTGAGAGTGAACTAATGCAGGGAAAGTGTACAGCACAACACCCCGTATCTACTACATGAGCAATAAACATCAACTAATGAGCTATCAACTACACTTTTATGCCCATAAAAAGAACAAACAGAACAAAAACAGAAAAAAAAGTTCCCTGAGTTCTTGCCTTTTTAAAAAACATCTGTATTTAAAATATTTTAACACTTATCTCTGAGGACACTATGTATTGAAATGTTCAAAGCTTTTTTTAAAATTTAATCTTTATTGTATTTTTATTCCATTACCATTTAGGTCCCTTATACTTCCCTCCCTACACAGTAATCACCACACTGCTGTTCATGTCCATGAGTGTTTTTTCCTTTTTGTTCAATTCCCCCACACTCTAATCTCCTTTTGTTTGTTTGTTTTTGGTAGGCAAGAGGACAGCAGGAAAGATGATAGAGATAATAAAATAATTATCTTTATCTTAGTGTTATCAGTCTTCTTTATTATTTTATTCTTGTTTTTTTTCAGTACCATTACATTCTGCCAATACCTATTCTGTCCATATGCTGAGCAATATGAACTATGTATTTATGTATTTATTTATCCTTCTAAGGCAAAAAGTTATTAAAACCCTACCACCAACATCTGACTTCAAGTACAAAATATCCTAGATTTAAATGCTATAATCGTATTAGCCATGTGGGTAAGATACGTCTTTCTTGGTTTTAGAAATATGGTAATGTGCAAATGATTTATCTTGGCCTCACTTCATTATAATTACCCATCAAATTTATATTCCCTATTCATCATCCAAATGGGTAAATAAAATTTTCAGCTGACTTGTAAGACAGCAAAACTTTTCTTGCCATGCAACTGTTACCTATTGCTCTCAGTTCTAAATAATATAAAAATAGCTTTTACTATACCTGTTTAATTGACAAAAGTCAGTCAGTTTTCATCCTTTCTATCTGAATGTAACTTTTGCATTACATTATAAAACTCAGTTGTAGAAGTAAATGATATGTCATCCTTGGCATACTTCTGAACAGTTCTTTCTCCTAGTCACTGATTCATTCAACACAATATTATTTAGCACCTACTATGTGCCAGGCATTGTACCAGGTTCCTAAGATACAAACACTGAGCAAAAACAGACCAAATGTGTACTCTGAGGGAGGCTATAGTTTTGTGGAAAAGACAGAAATGTAATAAATAATCATACAATCACTGCAACTGAAACAAGTGCAACACAGAGGAGTCTTCTACATGCCCATAACGGGAGAATGGGACCTAGTTAGGGAGGTCCAGAGGGCTTTCCCAGGAAAGCAATACTTGAGCTGAGGTGTGACTGGGGATGATTATGGGTCAATGAAGTAAAGAGGCATGAAGAGCATGCTAGACAGAGGAGAGAAAGGACCAGGGAAACGTAAAAGACCAGTATGGCTGCAGCAGAGACTAAGGAGAAGCTTGGCTGATGCGTGAGGGCTGACACAGATCCCTATAGTTATGTTCAAGAGTCTCCTTTTTACCCTAAGAACAACAGGAAGAGGCTGATGAGTGGTGACATGATCTGATTTGTATCTAGACTACGCTAGGGAGATGAGATTACAGTAATTCACAGGGAAAAGAGATAAACCAGTTAGGAGGCTGCTACAGTGATCCAGAAAAAAAGATTATGGCAGTTTGGAGCAGAACAGTAATGATGAAAATTAATACTCAGAAGATACATGGCGACAGAGCCAGATGTCAGTGTTGTATTATGAACGGTGCATGTATTAACTTTTGGAATTCTTACAAACGGCATATGAGATGGGTACTCTTTTCTATTCTTTTTTATATTTTATAGATAAGAATATTGAGGCATGTAGAAACCTGTCCAAAATCCAGGTGGTAAACAGAAAACCCAAACCAATAGTCAATGCCAACTACAAAATTATTGTGTAAAAAATTAGACATATAGCTAGAAAAAAGGGTCTCTATAAAGAAGTTTAAAAACTTAAAAGCTTCTTGACCTATTTCATCAAGTTCCCAAGTGATAAGGCCTGAAGAACACAGCCTTAGGTTTCCCCACAAAAAAATGGATTCTCTTTTGATGATTTATACTTATGGAAGGCATACCTATTTCAACATATCGACTTGGCAAGTCCCTCATTTCACTGGCATGCCGTTCCTTCACTGAGCATATCTAGAAAATAAATTCATAGGTTATTTCGTTCATTTGATGAATAACTCTTCATAACATTTCTTTCCACGTATGATACTTTCATTAAATCAGCCATGTAACATTGAAGATGGAATGCATACAATCTACCTACTGATTTAAATGACAAAAAATAATTTCAATAGCATACATATAGCTATTGTTACTTATATTCTTCAATATTATTCTTTGATAAAGTCTTATTCAAAGGCAAAGAAAGAAAGCAAACTATAAAATAGTTTTGTTTCCAATGATCCATTCTCTGCAACTCTGCTTATTTGTGTGATAACAGAAGTATCTGTTATCACACAAATAAAGCTCTGGCAGAAATACATATCCAAAATGCCCAACAGCTAATCTGGGCAACATTCATATTAGGTCTTGTGCTCCTAATTACATATTAGTAATTTATTTTACTATTGCTAAATAATACTTTGCACAAGTGGCACATGCACTTTTTCTTTTGAGTGTATTAAAATCAATGTACTACATAGTTTTAAATCAGGGGTTGGTAAACTACAGCTTGGCCCTAGCACAGGCCTGTTTTTTTTTAGGTCTGCAAGCTAAGAATAGTTTTTATACTTTTAAGGGCTTGGAAGGAAAGAAGGATGGAAGGAGGAAGGAAGGAAGGAAAAAGGGAGGGACAGAGGGAAGAAGGAAGGGAGGGAGGGTGGGAAATACTCAGCAGAAACAGAATGTAGTCCATAAAATCTAAAGTATTTAATGCTAGAAAGTCTGCCAATCCCCATTTTAAATTATATGTATACAGTTTAGGTATATATGTGTGTATTTATCTATCACACACACAACACATGGTTGTTTTAGGGTTGTAAGACTATAGATATTTTCTATTTTCTTTGTCATATTTTCTAAGGTAAATAAGACAACAAAATTTTAAGTTTAGCCATGGAGGTAAAAACAATCTGAAGTTAAATACTAATTATACCCACTTTTGTAAGGGATCAGGTTTTTTCCTTTTTCTTTAGATAGCATTTATTATGTTCTTTTATAGCTGCTACCCTAAGTGTAGCTACAATATAGAAAATTCTAAAATATAGAAAACCCAAAAGGAAAAAAACAAATACTATTCATTGTTCCTTCACAAGGTGAATGCCATTAACCTTTTTTTAAAAAAGATATTTTATAAACCTAACAACTTACTACAAATAATAATACATTATTTAAATATTCTTCCACAGTTCTTTAATGTCTTTATAGCAACATTTCATTACATGAGTATACTATAATTTACTCAATCAGTTCAATTTTAGACAGTTTTTGTTTCTATCTATAATGCAAGCAATAGTACTATCAACATGGTTGGACTTGAAAACTTTTGGACTTTTGATTCCTTTGGACAAACTCTTACAAGTAAAACTGATAGATCAATGAGTATGTACAAGGTTTTCTTTGGTTTGCTTACATACACATCCAAACTGCTGTCCAGCAGCACAGTGACTATGTGAGAGCCCTCACTTTGTCTAACACAGGACTTGAACACATGCCTGTGGAAGTATACACATTTACTTAGAAGTGACCAGCTATTTTCTCTCTTGATTGTTTTTTTTTTCATTTGTCTCCTGTCCATCTCAGACAATTTCCTCTCTACTTCCCCAGTATTCACAATTTCCTCCTCCTTTTGATAGACTTTTGTTATTCACTCTTCTGTCCACAATGCCAAATGAATAACCGTTTTACTAATAAAAGTACACAAGGATAATGTTTCAAAGGGTTTGAAATATAATAATATAATGAATGAATGTATGTTTCTGTGTGTGTGTGTGTGTGTGTGTGTGTGTGTGTGTGTGTATATATATCAGTTGTTTGTATGGAAAAGGACATGCAGGTTATGATTATTATAATAGTTTTATTAACTCAAAGGATGTCACAAGGCAACTGTAGACCTACTTTTGCCCACCCCTGTATGTGTAATATTAACTAGCACTTCTGAGCAACTCTGGACACCATTCCTCAATTAAGGGCTTTATAAAACAGACATAGCTCTTTTCTCAGGAAGATTGTGGTACAGTGGCAGAGACACACACTTAAACAAGGCATTTTCCTCAAGTGTAATGGGGAAGTGCAGAAGTGTAGAGCAGGGCATCTACACGTTGGGGAGAAAGGCTTCCTGGAAGAAGTGAGCTAATGCCAGGCTAAACTGTCTCCAGGGCCATGCTACAACTTCTCCCAGGACAAGGACACATGGTACCACTGGCAGCAAGGTCATGGCTCTATTCTACCCTCCACAGTTCTGTGGTCTGAGCTCTTATCCCAGCACCTGTCTTACAGATGAGTGGCAGCTGGTTCAGGTGTGTGAATAGCAAAGTGCTTCCCGAAGCTCATGTCCTGCATAAGAGCAGATCAATGATTTCAAGAGTCCTTTTTACCTTGACTGGTAGTTTCTCGCCCACAGACACTAATTTGCTTCATCCAACTCTCTCCCCCAGTTCTCCACTTACAAGTTTAGTAGGCATCTCAAGTAGAAACATATAAAAACAACTCCTGACTTTTCCCCTCTAAGCATTCTTCATTAAAAGTCTTCCTATTTCAGTAAAAGGTAGCTTCATTTTCTAGTTCCTCAGGTAAAACAAAAACACCATTAACTTCTTTTTCTTACATGCCATATCTAACCATGAACAAATACTGTGAGGTCTACTCTCAATGTATATCCAGAATCCAGTCATCCCTTTCCTGCTCCACCAGCTCATCCAAGACACCACGTTACTCTGAGGTGACTTGAGTAGCCTCCTAACCAGTCTCCTCTCTTCCCTGCACCTTTGCTATTTAGCTCCACAAGGCAACCAGAGTGAGCATTTAAAAATCCAAGTTGGATCATTTAACTAATTCCTCCTCTCGAACCCTCTGCTGGCTTCCCAACCCTCTCTGAGCCCCCACATGATCTGCTCCACCACAAAACCCACATGCATCAGTCTCTACTGTCCCTCTCCTCTGACCTGCTCCACCTACTCTGGTGATGGTGGTTTCCTCCAGTTCCAGAAAGAAACACCAATCAAACTCTTGCCTCCAGGAATCTGCCCTTAAGGCTGCTACCTCTGCTGAACCCCTCCCTGACAGCTGCAGCTGCAGGGCTTCCTCCTTCCAGATCTGTGCCAGGATGACACACAAGTTAAGAGAGATGTCTTCTCTGAACCACCATAAATTAAATGGCACCCATCTCCATCCCTTTCCCTACTTTCCTGTTTAACTACTGCCCCTGATTTTCACCACCAACATGGAATGTTGACTTATTTATCCATTTCTACGCACTAGAATGAATATAAATTTGCCCAGAGAGGGAATTACCCATTTGTTTATTTATTTATTTAGGTATCTGCCACACCAGAACATTGTCCATGCACATGAACGAATGAATGAATACATGAGTGAAATGGTTAGCTCCAATTTTACACTTTTCTACACTGTGGTGGTTATTTCTCCCCAATAAGATTGCTCTCTCTGCCCTGAGTGGTGTGGCTTAGTGGACTGAGAACCAGCCTGCGAACCATAGGGTCACTGGTTGATTCCCAGTCAGGGTGTAACAGGGTGCAGCCAAGGGGGAGGTGGGTGGTCCAAATAGGGATTTGTAATGGGGTCCAGAACTCAGGGTGTCCAGGAAATGTTAGAAAAAAAATAAATAGGATGTCCTCACTCTTACAAGTCTGAGCTGTGGGATGGGACACATGGAGCAGGGCCATTGAAAGCTGTTTTGCAGCAACAGTTTTGCAGTTAATCTCTGGCATGGTCATTTAACATATCTATAAATTTTAACTGGTTTCATGGATATGTTAAATAGCTGTGGCCATGCTTTGAGCTGGGGGATGGAAGTAACTTCCACCCAAGTTGTAACTGGGAGGCAACTCCCCCTGGGTACAGTGCCTGTGTGAGAGCTTGGAGATGACTGGCTCCACACCGTGAGGTCATGCCTGCCCAGACTTACCATGGCAGCCTGGTAAAGCTGGACAAATACGGGAATGTTGGCAGGTGTAGCTAATTGTGGGAGAAGTCAGAAATTAGGCTGCAGAGGAAGACTGGTGCTGGGATTTAAACCCAGACATGGCAGCCATGCCTGGCTGGGACCCATGACTTTGGAGTAACATTGGAACCACATGGTTTTGGGGTGCTCTCTTTTGCCATGTGGCTTAGAAAGCAGGAGAGACTTTGCCGGGAAGAAAAGGGGTGAAAGGATTCTTGCTGCTGGGCCATGAAAAGGTGCCACATGGTTTTAGATTAACTGAAGGTCACAGTGGTGACACAATGGATGGTGCCAGAGCCTGAGCCACAGACTTCTACTTCTTTGCCTGAGATATGGTACCCTGGACTGGGCAGAGGGAGAAGGAAGTGTGTGTCTGTGGATATTCTAAAGGACTTTAATATTTTAATGAAGACATTAAGTCATTACTCTAAGTCTATATAACTTTTTAAATAAATAATTTCTTTCCTTTTCACCAATCTCTGGCATTGAGAGATAGTCTTTCCCCTGGCAGCAGGCAAGTCAAACCTAGTACAGGGAGGGGGATCCCTGGAGCAAAAGGAGGAAAGGGGGAGTCCTTTTGGTAATAGTATATCGTTCACCACCCCCATCCCGTCCTATTCTATAACAAGAACATATTATGCCTGGGTTGCAGGCCAGGTCCCCAGTAGAGGGCGCATGAGAGGCAACCACACACTGATGGTTTTCTCTCTCCCTCCCTTCCCCTCTCTGTAAAAATAAATAAATAAAGTCTTTAAAAAAAAAAGAATGCTCTGTCTGAGAGAAAAAGATGATGTCCTATCTTATCTTCCCTCAACAGCAGGCAGAAAGATTCTCCACCAAGAAGTACTCAATATATATTCCTAATTGATTCTGAAGAAGAGGAATCCCCAACAAACTGAAATATTTGACAAGAAAAATCATGACTTGGATTGTAATTCAGGTACAAAGTGCATTAGTTTCCCATGGCTTCTGTAACAAATTATCACAAACTTGGTAGTTTAAAATAACAAATCACTTCTTTCATAGTTCTGTAGGCAAGAAGTCAGATCAGTTTCACTGGGCTAAAAATCTAGGTATTGGTAGAGTTGCATGCCCTCCGGAGGCTCTAGAAAAGCATCTAGAATCCTTGCTTCCTCTAGCTTCTGGGGCTGCTGGCACTCCTTGGGTGAGTCACTCCAATCTCTGCCTCCATAGTCACACTGTCTTCCTTCCTTTGGTGAGAGCACTCCCGCTTTAAGAACAGGTGTGACTGCATTTAGGGCCCACCCAGTTGATGCAGGATAATGTCCCCATCTCAAGACCCTTAATTAATCACATCTTTTGCAATAGTATTCTACCATTTAAAGAAACATTTCCAGGTTGCAGGAATTAGCGCTTGCTCTCTTGGGGGCTGCTCTATGCATCCTCATAGAGAAAGCATTTCTTATAGAAATCAGCAAACTACTTATGTGTCCCTACAGGCTAATTTTCCTTGTTTTTCACCAAAAGAAAAAGCAACTTTAAAGCAAACAAAAAAAAGCCACCTGGTCCATTTAAAGAACTTTAAAACTATCAACAACGTAAGGTGTTTTTTTTTTGTTTTTTTGTTTTGTTTTTAGTGAGTAATGACACACACGGGATAGGGAAACTGGAGAATCATTTTTTTTTATCCTAGGCTCTGGACATAACTTCCTTCCCATTATCATTAATATGAATCAGGCTGTGTTCATTAACACAGGAAAACAATTAGCGCATGTTAAATTAAGAAAGAGAACTTGAATCCTACCAATGTGAGAGACAGGAGGTACCTAACCTCAGGTAAATTATGCTTTTGTTTTGGTAATAAGAAGCATGACATTAATTATTTTTATGCTTCCATTTTCCACAGAAGAGTAAATTTTAAAAAGCCATGTCTCTTTAATGACTTTCCTAGAATTTTATGATATAACAAAGACAACTAATATTTATTAGACGTAATAGGTCAGATTCTATGCTAAGCTCTTTATTTGCATTACCTCATTTAATCCTCCACAAAATTTAGGATGTGAGAATAACTAGTACTCCCATTTTGTGGATGAGGAGATTTAGTCTCAGAAAGGATCACACAGGAAGTGAATGGAGACCTTGTAATTGATGCCTGATCTGACTCTAAAGCCAGAGCTCTTCCATTGGACTACTGCTCGTATACTTTCTCATACCATTTTTACCTCAGCTAGTTTCTATTTTATTCTGTTTAGGTTAAGCTATATAGCTTTTGGGAAACAACTTTTGGCTCTGAAGTATCTAATACAAAACAAGCACTGTGATCCATGAAATAAATGTGAGTAAGCTTTGGGCCTCTTTTGTAGAATAACTAAATTTCATTTACTTGGGCACATAAAGGGGATAGTTATATGCCACAAAATAGTCCTAAGTCTTACTGACAAGAAGCCTGGGCCTCTACTCCTTTATATTATTACCAAGCAAGCAGGATGATTTAGTTTTATCCTTTCTCTGCCATTAACTCTAATGAAAGAGCTAAGGGAAATGGAAAGAAGAATAGAGAAAGGAAAACCTGATGAACCCACAAAACTAACACCATGTTCTATAACTAGCCAAAACCAAATGGGCTATAGGAAATTTTAAAAAAGACTTTAAAAAAAGTAGCATCTTGTGAACATAGAAAAGTTCAGTTTGTTTTCTACAACGTGGGAAAGAAAGACTGTCTTAAAACTTATGCTTAGGAAAGGACTGAGTATTAAATGATTATCACATGGCAAAAATACTATGGTTGCAATAATACTCATGGTGAAAATATTCTGGTTGCAAGGAGTCATTCAAGAACTCGTATTCCTTTGGACCAACCTCAATGGATCTGTAACAACATGAACTTATTATAAGCCAAGCAAAACCACCTTGACAGATGTCCCCCAGCCGATAATCAGTGTCACACTGTCCTTCCAGCAGAGGCTGCAGGGATACATATCTGGGCGAAGACTTATATCATCCCGGGGCACATTGGTGATTCTTTGCTTTGAGGTAATGTCAAAAATCTTCACACCCTGTAAAATAAAATAGCATTAAGCAGCCTCTTCTTGGGAGAAGAAAAGTAAAGAAAAATTTATTAACAGCCACTGCTACATACCACTGATAACTAGCACTACAAAATATTGACAGTGTTTATTGAGTACTGCTGGGAGCCATGCAAAGGAAATGCTCCTACTCCACAGAAACCTGTGAGAACCCCGAACAAAAGAAAACCTCAATATTTCTTTCTGGACAAAAGCAATTTTATTGGTAGATGCCATCACTGGCTCAAATACAACACAAATGTGAAATGTATAGAATGTCAACAACTGCATTTCTAAAATGAAAGACAAGTAACATTTCTAATGTATCATTCCACTCACTACAAAATGAAATTTGCTGTTTAGAAACACTTTGAAATTGAAAATCCACTACTAAAAAAAAAAACTACACCTGACATTTAAAGTGCTCAAATGGAAACATCAAGCAAGCTGCTAACTAAAAATAAACCAAGGGACCACTAGTTTGTTTACCTTTACTTGACCAAGGAAAACAGTAAGAAAAGTCCTGAATAGCAAAGTAGATTCCGGGAGAAAAGAATAGAGCTAATCTACTAAGTTATATACCTTGAAATTTCAAAGGATATGCCAGCTGTCAAAAAGACAATTTTTAAACTATCAGCTCTAATTCACATTGAGTAAACTTTAAGTCTGGCACCAAAAACCATGATCCACTTTTTAAAAGGCAGGCACATATTTTGCTTGTGATTATAAGGGGAGTGAAAAAATAGAATTGGCAATATTCTGTACTTGTTTCATATTCACTGTTACTTGCCCTTGGCTAATAAGCAGATGGTATTTTCAAGACCACATTCCCAATGCAGCCTTTCAGTTAAGATGCTTTTTTATTTTCTTGGCTATTCTCCATACCTCAGGTTTCTTCCTCTAAAATAGAGTACAGAATATGTTGGGAGTTACTCTATTATGAAAGCCAAGAGCAATCTAATTTCTTTAACCTTCCGGGTATGATATGAATTGCCATTTGTATCTTTTAGAAATGACCATTGCAGCAAGTGGCATCTTCTCCCTTTGTTACCTCCCTCTCAGTCTGGCCCCTCCTTTGGCTCTGCAGAAGCATTAGGAAGAAGGAGACATGCTTTTTACCATATTATTGGCCCAAGCAATCAGATGGCCTCTCCACTTCACATTCCTTATGTTCCCTTCCCCTTCATGCAGAATAGAAGACTTCCACCTGCTCATCCAAGATCGTTCAAACAGCAGCAACTAGGGACAAATATAAAACTGAATTTCAAAAATGAAGAAAAATGTCTTAGATACTTTTCTCATTATTTTTGCTTGGCCATTGACCAAATGACAAACAAGTCATTCCCAACAATTTTTATGCAGACTGATAGTACTACATAATTTGTATTTTGGAAAGAATTTCCACTATTTTCTTCAGCCCAGGATACTGTTTAAAATGTGAGAGTGGAAGTTACTACAAAGTCAAGCCACAAGGTGGCACCAAAATACCAAAATTCATGGAGAATAATACACAACAGTCAGTTAAAAGATGTATCACAAAATGTTCTTCAAACAATTGCCCAAGAATTTATTTACTTTGTAAACTGGGAAATCAAAGCCTCATAATCTTTCCCTAAAGTAACATATTAATTACAGATTAAACCACAATAGTTAGAAGCAGTGGGTTTTTCATTTAACCCAAGAAAAGTAACTTAACAATGACATTTGAGTAGTAATTCAAGTCATAAGAGAAATAAATTTGCTTCAGTATTAAACTTCTTTTAAAAGTTCAGAGTAGCTGGGGTCTTTATTTTAAAGGGAAGAATCTATAATAAAAAATCTGCTGGGTAAGTTTTACTATCAAATATAACTGATCAAAACCTCTAACTATAGTTCTAATAATTCATACATTATTAAGGATACAATAAAATATTTTTCTTAATATATCCAATTTAAATATTTTAAGAAAAGACATTTATACATGTATAATATTATACATGTATAATATATACATGTATAATATTATACATGTATAATATATACATGTATAAATGTATATCATTTATATACATATAACTTCACACATGTAATCCTGAAACGTTTACCATTTAAAAGCAAATATTGATGACAGATTCCCTAACAGAATTTTTTTAAATTACTTTATTATTGTTCAATTCCTAACAGAATTTTTAAAGTTCCTATTATCAGAGTCAATTTCAGTTTACTTAGTGTATTCCGTGTCCCTTCCTACCCCCAAAGAAGGGAGACAATAGGTATGGGAAGAGAGTAAAATTCATATTTTACTTATATTTTTTATATATCTTTCCCAATACTTACAGTCATATAGTCAGAAAGTGCACAATAAAGAAAAAAAACCTAAAACTAAATTAGTGTCCATCTTTACAAATAAGTAGAGTACGGCCACTTTTAAGTGCCACAAGTGTCTGAAGTTATCTATTATCCTTGGAAAAGAAAGGAGGCCTCACACAGTCCACTATGGAGACTGGAAGCAGGGCTTTTACTAACACATGTACTCCTGTCTTTCCATTAGATAGATATAGGACATCCTCTCACAGGACCTTCTAAATCCCCTTCTTGTCCTCTCCTACCTCAGGTCCTAACTAAGAAATGTCTCCACCACCATGTCTCCCTACTTCCTTAGGCCTGCTCTCTGTCTGTGATTCAGCCTCTCCCTAAAAGCCAAGGAGGTCCCTGAATGTGTTCAGTATTTTGTACTAGGATAGGTTTGAAATTCAGGGAAGGAAGAGAAAGTCTGAGAATATAGCTCCTGCTACACATTCCACTAAAGATGGGGAGCTAAAATTAATTATATTAAACATGAGGAAATGATAAGATTGAAATATCTATCTTCCATCTGTCATCTGGATTGGGTGGGGGTGACTGAGGGCTGGGCTCAGGGAGTGCTCCATCGCCACCTGCTGGAAGGAACCGTGGCGGGATGGCCAGGATGAAAGTGTGCTGGAACTCAGCATCAAGTTCCTGTCCCCCACCAACTCCTACCTAGAAATGAATGATGCAGTATTAAAAGGGAACAAATTGCACCTGGGTTAGAAAAGTTAAATATGCCCCAAATTTTAAATTAAAAATTCTATGAAATGATAGAAATAAGACCCCAGTGAAGGCATGACTCAACTCACTACAAGAAAAATCCTGCCTCTTCTGGGCAAGATGATGGTGTAATAAAAGCAGTACACACCTCCCACAACCACATCAAAATTACAACTAAACTATAGAACCACCATCATTCAGAATGCCTGAAATCTGGGTGAATGGAAATCCTACAACTAGGGAATTAAAGCACAGGCCACACTGAGACTGGTGCAAGGGTTGGAGACAGAACAAGCTGGCCCCACACTCATGTGTGGCTGATAAAAATTGGGAAAGATATTACAGTAGCAGAGGTCCCCCCTGAGAAGCGAGGGTCCCATCCCTACACCAGGCCCTCCAGCCCAGGGTTCCAGTGCCAGGAAGAGAAGTCCCCACAACCTCTGGCTGTAAAAACCAGTGGGTAGTGTGGCTGAGGAAGACTGAAGGCTTCAGGAGTCCCAGGCAGTTCCTCTTAAAGGACACAGACTTAGTAGGACTCACTCCCATCTGAGCTGCAGCACTGGGGTTGCAGCTTGAAAGGCACCAGAGACATACTGGAAGAAACTTAATTGTCTGGCACGAGGATGAGAGCTAGGGAAGAAGGGAGACAGCTTTCTCTCAAAGAGAAGTGCTGTCAGAGTCCAAGGTTCCTTTGATGAGCCTTCCTTGCACAGAGCCAGCAGGTGGGCACCATATCTGAGTCTTCAGCAACCTGGCTCACAGTGTCCTCCAAGGTGATTCTCTGAGCTGCCCCACCCAACTTTCAGGCCCTCCTAAGCTATTTCCAGTGGCTTTTCCATACTAATGGCCTATCTTGGCTCATGCTTCACATATTTCCCTAAAACCTCTCAAACAAGCAGCACGCCCCATACCACTTACTAAATGGCTCCAGCCCCGGGCACTCATAGCAGCTGGCCTGGGTTCACAGCCTGGCCTCACCTGGGCACCTCCAAGCCCAGCACAAGTAGCAGCCACCTGCAGATACATTTGCAGTTTATGCCCAGTGGCCCTGGGCAGAACACAGGTGGCAGCTGACCTTGGCCTGAACCTCCTAGGAGATCTCAGAGTCAGTGTACCCAATCAACAGCCTCAGACCATGTCAAAGCATCACCACCCAACCACCTCCACAAAGATATACTCAAGGGGTGGACTCAGTGGGCACCAGAGCTCCACTAGAGTGAGTTCTGCTCCATGGAGTCAGCAGCTGCACAGCTGATCATCCACAGTGGCCAGAGTTCCATAGTTGGTGGTCAAAATCAGTCCTTGCAGTGGATCAGCCTGGGGATAAACCCCTCCTAGTGATGTTGCAACAGCATTCAAGGCTCAACTATAAGAGGAGGGTATACAAAGCCCACACCCACATGAGGGGGGGCAACTGGAATGCCCACCTGGAGTGATCAGAGAGTCTGGTCACTAGAGAGCCACTACACACTATAGAACACCTACTACATTAGGCCACACTACCAAGCCTGGGAGACATAGAAGCTCTGCCTAATAAAGGGAAACAAACACAGGGAGGCTGCCAAAATGAGGAGACAAAAAAAACATGGCATAAATGAAAGAAAGAACAAAATGCCAGAAAAAGAACTAAACAAAATGGAGATAAGCAATCAACTAAATGCAGAGTTCAAAATACTGGTTATAAGGATGCTCAAGGAACTCAGGACCTCAACAGCATAAAAAAGGACCAATCAGAAATGAGAGACACTAATTGAAATGAAGAATAATTTATAAGGAATCAACACTAGAGTAGATGAAGCAAAGAATCAAATCAATAATTTGGAATATAAGGGAGTAAAAATACCCAATCACAACAGCAAGAAGAAAAAAGAAACTAAAAAAAAAATGAGGATAGAGTAAGGATTCTGGGACAATTTCAAGCATACCAACATTTGGTTATAGAGGTGCTGAAATGAAAAGAGAGAAATCAAGAAATTGAAAACCTATTTGAAAAAAGTAGTGACAGAAAATTTCCTAACTTGGTGAAGAAAATAGACATACATGTCCAGGAAGCACAGAGAGACCCAATTAAGACGAACCCAAAGAGGCCCACACCAACACAAATAACTAAAATGCAAAAGGTTAAAGACAAAGAGAGAAACTTAAAAGCAGCAAGAGAAGAGCAGTTAGTTACCTAAAAGGGAGTTCCCATAAGACTGTCAGCTAATTTCTCAACAAAAACATTCCAGGCTGAAAGGGATTGGTAAGAAATAATCAAAGTGATGAAAAGGAAGCACCTACAATCAAGATTAATCTACCCAACAAAGCTATCATTTAGAAATGAAGGACAGAAAAAGAGCTTCCCAGATAAGAAAAAGCTAAAGGAGTTCATTACCACCAAACCAATATTATATGAAATGTTAGTCTTCTTTAAAAGGAATAAAAAACATATCAAAAATATGCACAATGAAATGGCAACTCATACATATCTATCAACAATTGAATCTGGAAAACAAAATAAACAAACAAGTAGAACAGAAACAGATTCATAGATACAGAGAACATTTGATGGCTGCGAGATGGGTGGAGGATTGGGGGGATGGGTGAAAAAGATGAAGGGATAAGAAGGACAAATTTGTTGTTACAGAATACTCATGGGGATGTAAAGTACAGCATAGGGAATATAGTCAGTAATATTCAAACTATGCATGTTGTCAGATGGGTACTGGATTTATTGGGATAATTATTTGTAAGTTATGTAATGTATAATTATTGGTATAATTAATGTATAATAATTAATGTATAATTATTATACCTGAAACTAATATAATAATGTATGTCAAAAGTAATTGAAAAATTAAAATGAGGAAGGAGAAAAATATGCAATATAAGCCTATAAGGATATCATATATAGAGTACATAAAGTAATGAAAATATAAAAATGAAAGTTCTCCCTTTTTATAATAATTTCCATATTCCCTGTGTGATGTGTATACTTTTGGACTTCTTCATGGCCCTACAAACAACATATATTTACATGCATGTATAAATGAGTGGGTTTTCCAAAAAAGCTGCCACCTGCTATCAGTGGACAAAAAAAATAGCATTCTGGTTTAACATTAGTCAGAAAAATGTTTATTGTTTCTCAGCTTTTTTGTTATGACTCAGAGTGAGAAACACAACTTACATCACAATGGGTATACAGATGCCTG